CGCCAGGGAAGCGCTTATTCCACTGAGCCATCTCCCTAGCCCTGAGGGCTTTTCTTTTAATTGCATGATACTTGCACTTTTCATATGGGCTGAATGGCCTTAGTCACATTTGTATGTCATATGGCTATATGGCCCTTCTCATCTAAACAGTGCTAATCCACCCCCTTGTTGCCTGTCTTCTGTCCTGTAGCCAGCTTCTATCTCTGTCTTCCCTTGCCTTTGTTTTAGGAAACATTCACTTTCTGTTTCCTGGTTAAGAAATTCCAATATTTTAGAGGCTGGGGAGATAGCCCAGCAGTCTAGGCACCTGCCTGGAAAGCCCAAGGACCTGGGTTTGATCCCCAGTACCACATGCCTTGCCGGCCCTGGAACCCTGGGTGCGCTGTGCTGGCCACTGCAACTGGACATGGTGGTGCATGCCTGTAATCCCAGCTCTAGAGAGACTGAGACAGGAGGATCACTATAGTCTGTGCTGTGCAATGAGATCCTGTACCAAATAAATAAATAAATAAATAAATAAGATTTTAAAAAACTCAGAAGTTCCAATATTTTAAAAGGCTATCCACTTAGATGCCCAACTGGGATTAATTAGATTTACAATTGTGCATTCTAACTTATTAATTAGGAATTACGCCTTCTAAGATATTGATCTAATCTCATATCTAAGTCCTTGGAAACTTCCTGTAGCACTTGAATTTGTCTGACATTGGGTGTAGCTTGAATGGAATCTGGCATCAGGCATACACTACTTACCCACAGGAGGGCAGTTTGAAGCAATCAACCCTGTTTGTGTGTCAAGTTATTTACTGGGATAGATTCCACAAGTGGACAGTTAATGCTGCCTAACACCAGGTGCTGCTGATTGGTCCTGGCCTTAGTTGGCTGCCAGTCTTCAGGGTGCATGGTCCCTAGTGCTTATAGCTCTTTTTCAGAGCAACTGACTTATCCACACCACTCAGCATTGAATCCTGATTAGGTTTTCAGGAACTTTAGAGCTCACTCTACCTAGGAAATGAAACAGGAACAGGCTCACAGGATTACCTGAGTGAGGATTTCTTTGGGCAGAGCCTGTGCGCTGGTAAAGAAGGGTCATGTTGCCAGAGGGAGCCTCCTAGACTGCCCCAAGCTATTAAAGAAAAGGGCTTGGAGGTTCTCTGACAGAAAAGTTAATGCAGATCTGGAGGAGCCGTGCGGTTCATAGAAATGAGAGTCCATCTGTCCCTGGGCCCCATGGAGGTCCTTCCAGGCAATTCTGTGAGTTCCCTCCTGTGGTAAAAGGTGACAGAAAGAGGGGAAGACAGGTCAGCCCGGAGGGAGGGGCTGGGTGGGGTCTCCTGAAGGGACAGTGAGCCCCATAGAGATCTGAGTTTCTTGTATTTCTCTGGAGGCCATCAAAAAGCACCCGCTGTGCTGGTGTTTCAGAACCATCCACAGGGGGGAGATGTTCACTCAGGCCCAGGGTCAGGTCGGCTTTGATAGAGGGAGAGAAATTCCCTAGGGTTCCTATTCCAACTGAGAGGATGGAGAGGTGGCCAGGTGAAATGTAGGGTCTTTTCAGAGACAACACGGCCTCCTTAAAGACAGTCAGTGAGAAGAGAGAACCCAAGTCCCAAGCCAACTCTATCCAGAGCCTTTGCCAGCCTTGCACTGCAGCCTGGAGGCCCCGTAGGAGGCAGGTACTGGCTGTTCCTGGCCAGTCCTCTGCCTCCTGCCCTCTTTCTCCTACTCACCTACCTCTGTCAATCACTCATTGTGTCACAGTCCTATCCTCTTCCACTCAGGACAGAATTTCCCTTATTCCAGGCTAGCCAGGGTTATCTGGGACCTACGGAAGGAACTGTGCTAAAGGCAGCCACCTAGTCATGTCACTTGGGGTCATTTCTCCAGCACAGATGTCAACTATGTCAACCCCAGGTCTGGGAGTCCAGCATACAAACTGATGCCCACATTCCCACTTGTGCTTCCTTGCCCCCTGCGCTTCTTGGTCCAACAAATCCTATATGATGTTTGAGCTGTGCAGGGTGCTTCGTGGTGGGACCTCCCCCTCTAAGTTACATCACTTCCTTGTTGTCAGGATGGGCTCCTGGGAATGAAGGTCAGAGCTCCCTATTTTCTCTGGCTCTAATAGTGACTGCAGAGTGACTGTGTCCCAGCAACCCCAGCTTAGGCTCCAGCAGAGCTTTCTAACTCCTGATGTCCCCACCTCTTCCTCGGGCTTCACATAACTCAGCAAGCTGCCACTGTGCGTCCTGACACTTTCCGCAGTGTCCCGTTGGGCTGAGTCCTAGGCCAGAGTACTTATCCCAGATCTAGGTGTGGAGGAACAATCACAGCATCTTGAGCCCTTCACGATCCTGTCTTCTTCTCTTGTCAAAGCCCACTTCCCAGTGGGAGTTGGGAACAGAGAATTAAGAGTTCAGAAGTGTGAAAGGTGAAACAGGAAGATAGGGCCATAATACTGTGGTCCTTTGGGTTCCACATTTCCCAGAAGGTTGATGAGGGCAGGTCAAGCTACTCACTTGCTCCCGAAGTAGCCATGACTTTGTCAAGTTCACCTTTGTTGATACATTGCTCTATTGGAAGGGTCTGATGACAGTCACCTGCACTCCTATGCCAGTCATCACTTCCTGGTTCTACTTTAGACTGTCCACTATGCACTACCCACCCTTCCTCTCGTCTATGTTCCCTCCTATGTATGTGCATGTATTTTTGTATTTGTTAACTTGTTCTGGCTGTGAATTCCACAAACACTTTCTTGTTTATTTACTGTTGGGCTTCAATGTCCAGTCATTGTCTGGTGCATGACACACACTCAGCAAATACTTACCGCATGGAAACACCGGGTAAAGACTCCCAGGTCCGTGTTTATAGCAGCACAATTCACAATAGCTAGATCTTGGTAGCAGCCTATCTGTTCACTAACAGGTGAATGGATAGAGCAAATGGGATATTTATATGCAATGAAGTACTACTTTGTCATAAAGAAGGATAAGCTTGAGTCATTTGTAAGAAAATGAATACACCTGGGGGTGACAATATAAAGTGAAATAAATCAGACCCACAGAGTAAATAGTATATGGCTCAGACACACATCCTAACTATCATGTGCTTTCTTTTGTTTTATATAATGTATTATATAAATAATGAGCAAAACAAAAGATGGGGGGCAGGGAGGTAGCCCCATGGAATAAGCACTTGCCTGGCAAGTGCAAGGGCCTGAGTTCAATCCTGGATTCTGAAAAAAAAAATGGTAAAAAGAAATAGGGAGATAGATCTTTTGTAAGAGGAAAGTTGTGGAGGCCCACCTCAGCAGCTCTCCTTGAAAGAAGAGCGACTGTCTCCATGTTGACTGAGCCTGACCCTATTTCCCCGTATCGTTATGTACAGAGCTGGCTAGGACTTCTGTTTATCCTTCAGTTGGCCTTTAGCAATGTGTACTGGTCTAGCTGAGGTGCTGGTGATAGTCTTTGAAGGTGGCGTGCGTGTTTCTCTGGTAACCTACACCTGCTGCTCTTTAATGTGAGCCAGGCTGAGACAGGACGAAGAGCCAATGCTCCGTGCCGCCAGCTGGGATCGAGCCTCCAGACAGAGGCTATGACTTCCTGGGCTTGAAAGACTACATCAAAGCTGAAGCACCAGACCCCCCAAAAACATTAGATGCTGTCTCCATGGCATAATGTTATAATGCAGATTACTTTCTCTGCATATCCTCTCTGCATATGGCAGAGGTAAATCTAGGCCACCCACCTAGCTCAGCTCACAATGATCACCTACTTCCCACAATTCTCAGTCAATCCTCCTCAAGCCACTCTCCCACTGAATAAAAACAGGGTGAGGCCCTGGGTTGCTCTCTTGGTTCCAGAAAGTCATCTTTGTGGCTGGCCTTAGAGCCCCTTGACTGCCCGATGATTAAAAATGTAATTTAGTGTCTTCATCTTCGCATTGGGTTCCATTGTAAGTGGTAGATTGGAATCAACTTGATGGGATTCCAATAACGTAACTTTGGGATTATAAATATTGGCTTCTTGGACCAAGACGAGGACCTGGCAGTGACTCCTGCAGAAAGTAGTACTAGATCTTTTGCAAGAGATGGAGGGAGTAGAGAGGGAGAGGAAGAGGGAGGTTAAAAAAAAATTAAGATGCGCTATGTGCACGTACCGACTCCCCATAAAGCATGGTATCATATACTGCAAATGTGGGCTAATAAAAATTAAAGTTTAAAAAAAATTAAAAAGGTCACCAGTCCTGGGCCTCCTTCAGATTCTTTGGAGAAAGATGGTAGATGAGTTCTACCATCTAGCGACTCCCACTGTGTGCCGTCTTGGGCTGGTGTGGGGGATATCAGCGCTAGTTGAGTGGTGAGCATCTCATGCCTCCACATGACGGTCTTCAGTGTGGACAAGTTCATCAAGGTGTCCTTGGACCATCGTTTCCTTTATCCACACACAAGAACAAGGTCTACACTCCTGAACAAAGACTTAATCACCTCATGAAGTATAGTCACATCATACCAATCAACTTCCAAGCAGGTCCAAGAACCCATAGTTCTGAATGAAGAAGATGTCAGTGAGGAAGAAATAAAGAAGGACCTCGCTATGCTACGGGTTTTCTACCATCCTTCTTCAAAGAAGCCTGAAGACATTTCTCAGGATGATTGTGAAGAAGAAAGGGAATGGTCAGATGTCAGAACAATTCTGGAAAGTGTTCTGGGGCCAAGCCTAGGGGCCTGACGTGGCACTTGGGTCCATGAGTCTGAGGAGATCAGTGAACATTACAGTTGATTCAGGTTGGAGAGGGAGCTCAGGGACTCACTGAAGCTCTGCATTGTCATTTATTTCACAAACTAAAAAATGCACAACTAAGTAGACTGATACAGTGACTGAAAGAATCACACACTGGCTCTGTGACAATAGTGGAACAAAAGCAAAGCCACATACTAGGTAGGATTAAAGACTTCAGGGTCTTGGAGGTACTGGCATTGACCTAAAGTTTAATGGGCAGGTACTGACTTCAAAGAGGAGCACCCTAAAGATTGATTAGGAACTCTTTTGAAGTATCATGATGGTGAACAAGGGAAGATTTTAAAGAAGATCACAATGATTATCCAATATACATGACAAGAGGTGACAGAGCGTTCATTGTTCAGAAGGTCAGCTCCATCCATCAGAGGAGTTGTGTCTCTGGACAGGGCCTCGATGGACAAGGGATGTCACTGGTTCTCATCTCAGGATGACTTCACCTCCCTCCAGAGCATCTCTGAGACATGTTCACCCAAAAGATAGCACTGAGCATGCTCAGGAACAAGGGCACCTTCAGGAAGACCAGGAGCAGGAAGTGAATGCTGCTGAACAGGGACCTACAGGGAACATAATGACAATGACCGTCTTCACTGGCGGAGGCTGTGGTGCCTGGGATCTTGCCTCTGTCTTTTATGCTCTGGTCCTGTAACCATAGCAAACTGTATAAGGTCCATTCCTGGACAAGGCAGCTCTACCTGAAGGCTCATGTCCCTCACAGGAGGTTTGGGAAGTGGCCTTGAACTAGGGCCTCTGAGAGGGCATAGAAAGGACAGAACCATGAGAGGGAGGGGAGGGGAGCCCAGGGCTATCAGCTTCATGCTTGCTTCCAGAGGGGTGGGGCCTTGCCTCATTTCAGCCAATCACTCGTGCCCACCATGGACCTACACAGGGTCAGCTCAAAGAATTCATGGCTACTGATGGACTGATTGAAGGACCCAGCTCAAGTCTACCTACTTAGAGACCTGAGTTTGTCAGAATAAGCTGACACTTGTAGTCAGGGATGAGGGAACAGGGAGGCAGAGAGATAAAGTACCAAGGCCACCAGAGCCCAGAACAACTGCTCCTCTGAGCCTGGCCAGGTCCTGGTGAGCAGGACATTGGCACTTGTTCTGCCCTCTGCCTGGGCCACTTGCTCCAGACCAGGGTACCACCACCTCCAACCCTGTAGCCTTCACTCATGTGACTTCAATTGTTTCTGGAACTTGCATCTGGCTTCCTGCATTTATAGAGAAACTTCTGTGATGACTTGTGGTTGGTAGGTTCAGAGGGGCCCCAGAGGAGGGAGGTACAGTCCCTCTACCTCTCTTCTCCCAGCCTGGGCACACAATCCAAATGCAGGTCCTTACCGAGGCTGTGGGCTGGGGCTGGAGGTGTCCTCTCTGGTGGTGCTGGGCCAGGTGTGCACAGACATGGACAGGGAAGGTCCCATGGCACTTGTGATACCCTTAAGGTGGGAGGCTGTGGTTGTGGCTGTTTCTGAGAATGGAACACAGGTCAGATCCAGTGACATCCCCAGGGTCTCCCACTCACTGTCACCTGTGTGGCTGCTGGGCATGTTGGATATGTGCCCTTACTGAATAAGCCTTAGGGCCATACCTAGGTCTGATCAGGGCTGTTACTGTCATTCTATCAAATAGTGCCCTATGGCCACATGCTATGAGACATGAAAAAGGGCTTGCTAAGCAGGGCGATTTGAGCATCTGCATAGGTCCTTGATACCAGGTCTAATTCAATGCCAGCCAAATGTTAGTATTCCTCCTTTATCCTTTCTGGGGACCAACACAATGAGTGTACTTACTCTGTTTAATCTACTGCAGGGCTTATGTCCCTCACCCTGTCCAAGGCTACTGAAGTGAGACTGATGCAGAGAAATGGGAAAAACAGGTTCCTGGGGCAGGGCTGATGGCTGAATGGGGCTCCATGTGAACAGGGTGGTAGGGTTATCCGTGATGGGTGATGGGACCCTAGAGCACCACACAAGCACCCAGGCCCATGGCCCCAAACAGATCACTGAACAGTCTTCCTTGGGGAAGGAATAACCAGGAGCAAAGGTCTAGGGAAATAGACATCTGGTAGACCTGTGCAGAGCGGCCTGACCCAAGGCCAGGTAGACAGTGATGTGCCTTTCAGACCCAGCCGTGTCAGCGAAGGGTTTTCTCACCCTTCGGTATGAACGCATAAAGGGCCGAGAAGGAAATTTACACTTGGGGGAACTAAAACTGAGAAGTAAGAATTTAGACCAAGGATCTAGAAACAATTTCAGAGTTCCGGCCGTAGGCAGTCTACCCACCCTTAGAGACGGCTACTGGGTTTGGTTCCCAGGAAACAAGATGAGGGTTAAGGATGAATCAATGATCTGTAGATGCAGAGGAGCACTGGGGCCCATACGAGGGGGAGCCTAGAAGAGGTGCCCAGAATGTGGAGATGGATCAACCTGGGGGGGCCTGCATCTGGTCTCCCATGAAAGAGAAAGTTACACACAGGGGTCTGAGCTCCTTCTTGTGTCCCTCTGGTGGCCACTTAGGACCCAAATAGTGACACTTATGTCTCAGAACCTTCCAGAGCAGGGAAGTGTCCTCTGAGGCCCAGATCAGGACAGCTTTGATAGCATGGAGCAGATTTGCTAAGGGTTCTATTCCAATAGGGGCATAGTGTCAGAGTGAGGTTAGAAGTGAGAAAGGTATAGACCTGAGGTGGAACAATCAGTCAGTGAAGAAGTCTGGCTTGGTCTCAGTGATGGCCCCAACCCATACCTGGAGAGGATTCAGGCCTGAGGTGATCAGGCTGGCTATGGTAGAGGACCTCAAACAGCAGAAGTGTTCCCATAGGGCTGTGTGTGTGTGCATAAATATACATCTGTACACACACACATACACGCACAGCAGAGTCAGGCAGAATCACACACACACACACACACACACACACACACACACACACACACACACACAGTTCTGAGTCACTGACTCATCCAGCTCAGTCACTCTTACCCCAGCATTATTTCTTATACCCGCATTATTTCACGGAGGGAAAGACCAGGTGTAGACACAGGTAGCTCTGACGCTGATGAGAACAGGCTCACCTGGAAGCACAAGCACTGTAATTCTGAAGGTGGGGTTTTCTTGCCACCGTATTGTAACCCCACACCCGTAGGAGCCTGCATCCTGCAGTGCGAGGTTCTCCAAGGTCACCGTGAAGCTGAGGTTGGCGGGATGGTCCCTGATGGTCACTCGGCCGTTCCTCACTTCTCTCTCTGAGCCGTCAGTCTCCACAATCTTGTCACACGTTATAAATGATTGTTTGCACCAGTACTTCACATGCATCTTGTAGTGCTCCTCGTACCAACACTGCACACTCAGGGATCCCCCAACAGTGCCCGTCACAGTGCTGGGGCCACTCAGGAGAAAACAGCCTGGAAAACACAAGCCCCAGTTTTGGACTTCAGAAATGAGTGGGGTCAGGATCTCCTTGGGGTCAGGCCCTTGGGGCTCTCGTGTCTAGAGGAGACAGCCAGGGAAGCCAGCTGTGCCAGACCCAGGAGTTAGGACTGAGGCGAGAGGAGCTACCTCCTCTTGATGCGGGATGGGGAGAGGGGTTTCCATGGAGATGCACAGGGCCAGGTAGGAAAATACTGTATGTACATGTGTATGAGGCTATGTGTACGTATATACCTGCGTGTGTGCTTGCGTGTGTGTACACGGACGTGTGGGTGTGCTGTCCCGAGTGTGAGGCAGGCACTGGCCGCTCCCGCCCATTCCCCTGCTCTCCCTCCCTCCCTCCTCCATGTGCCATCACCTGTATCAGTCGCACCTTCCCCACCTCCTCAGGATGGCTCTTCCCTTCCAGTCTTAGTCCTCCTCACCTGGCACCTGCAGGAGGAGCAGAGCCGAAGGCAGCCACAGAGCCTTGTCTCCTGGGAGCATTTCTCTAGCACTGAAGTCACCTGCCCCAGGGCCACACCCAGAGGAAGGCGGAAGGGGACCTCCTCACGGACAGAGTTCAGCGAATGGCCCCAGGTCTGCTCTTCTGCCTCTCTCGGCTTCCTGGTCTACCGTTTCAGGATGTGATGCTGGAGATATGTGGGGTGAAGCCCATCAGGGAGAGAAGCTGCCCACAGCAGTGTTCGTGTCCTTGAACCTCCACGACACCAGCTCCTCAGTCAGTGGCTTGGCACATTCAGAGTCCCTGTGTTGAAGATGCCAGCCTTTTACCACAACCCACAGCTGACTGCCTGACATAAACACAGACACACACACACACACACCAGTGTATGCATCACAGCAGAGCTCACCGAAAGCGTCCCCCCCACAAGGGCCTCCCCGCCCCCTGTGATGAGTCATTTCCTTGTTAGCAGGATGGCCTCTTCTTGGTGTAACAGCCAGAGCTCTTCCCTCTTTGGGGACCACAGAGGGACAGTACTCTGCTAACATTCAGCTTAGAATCCACATGAGGTACCAAATTCTTCTGCTTTCCCACAACTGGTGGCAGTGGCAGCGTGAGACTTCACACTCTCCACAACCTGCCGCTCTGAGTCTGCAGTGGGGAAGCAGCTTCTGCTGTGCCTCCTTCCTCAGCTCTGAGGGCAGAGCAGCCATCTGTTGTGGGAGGCCATTAACCGGTATCCATTCTATTCCCCTGCTGAGTTAAGTTTATGGTCCTTCTCACCCCGCCTATTTCCCATAAGCCTCCTGCTATGCCCTGGAGATGGGACTTCCTGTCATAGCCCAGTTGCCTAGTTACTCACGCCTTTTACCCGCCCACGTCATTTCCCCTGCGCCTCCACTATATATACTCAGCACCTCCCCTGAATAAACGAGACTTGATCAGAATCCTGTCTTCATTTCTCGCGTCTCCTGTCCTTTGTCCCCTCTTCAATTCCCCGCTCCTCCCCCAGGTGACCTTCGTTGACTGACCCGCTGGTTTGGGACAATCTGTTGGACGGGAGCTTGGGAGAATGGATGAAGGAATGAATCTCTCAGGCCTCTAACCTCCAGAGGACTCTAGCAGCCAATGCTAACTGTTCCCTTCCCATTCAGATGGGGAGAAAAGATGAAGAGATATTCCTGGAGCTCAACAATCCACCTGGCCCAGGGAGACCTCTAGGCTGCCTGTTGGCTAGCTTGATGCCTGACAGCGCCCATAGAGGGATGTTTGCTCTTGCTGTTTCCTAAGCTTGGGGCTTTCCTGATCTACTTGTACAGAGTATTCCTCATTCGTTCCTAGTCCATTCATTTCTAGTCCCAAGTTAAATACAGCCCCTTGACCCCTCATTTTATCTCATTTTAAGTACTCTGACCTTGATGCTCTATATAGTTTTCATTAATTATTTCTATCTGAACAACAGATGCTGTGGTCAGGGAGAGCACAGGCCTCAGTGTGTTCATTCACTGCCAACCCCAGTGCCAAGGTCTGTCTTGGGTAAGGGGTGAGATCGCAATAAGTGGTGCTACGGGAATAAAGGGGAGAGGAGGTCCAGGATTGGGACAGCTGGACTTGAAGCAATCATTAGGGTAGTGAAATTCAGTAACCTTTGGTGTTGGTCAGTTTGCTACGGTGCCCTTGGAGCTGAAACGGAGGAGTAGCCCATTAAAATCTCCCCTGTAGGTATTTGACTGATCTTGTCAAATGCAAAAATTACATTTCTTGTTATATAGGTCTTGCTTTATCTTGGTCTTAACCATCCAGCAGAAAAGTATAAGAACAAAGTATAAAAAGTAAAGCCATATTAATATGCTGAGCTGTAAAAGGCTCAAGTTAGCAACTTCTGACATTGCCAGTCCTACAGATAACCCACTACTATTATGGACTACTGGACTATATTGGAATATTTTGCTGAATTCACGCACCTACAATATTTTAATGGTAATGGAATACCCTTCTCTGACAAAACTAAACAAAGAAAGGGGATACAATTGAATGACCATTTTATATCTGTATATTGAAAATAGGATAGATATACAGCTACTTTCTCTTAATTTAATGAATAGAAAGATTTGTTTCAATAGTGTTTGTGGACAGGACACCATGTCTGCATCTTGTACAATGAATAACCATTAAGACAACAATATGCAATGTATCAATTATTGAAACTGTCCTACCAATCAGTTTTGAAACAGTCTCATTGCTATTTGTTTCTCAGTAAAATTATTCTTTTTTTAAAAAATATTTATTTATTTATTTATTTAGTGTGTGTGTGTGTGTGTGTGTGTGTGTGTGTCCGGCTGGCATGTGGTGCTGGGGGATTGAACCGCCCGCGGTCCCTTGTGCTTTGCTAAGCTTGTTCTAAGTAGGTGCTTTAGACCACTGAGCCATCTCACCAGCCCAGTAAAATTATTCTTAAAAAAAACTCCCCTGTACAAGAGGACAAGGTTGAGATTTAGTAAGTAGAAGCCTGAATCCAGCTAGCAGCTAGAGGGGCGTGTTCTCTCCATCAAATTTCGCACTAGAGTTTAGGCACCCCTGACACTGGTACAAGGGTTGCTTACCTGCGAACAGGGACATCACCCAGAGAGAGTCACCAAATGCTTTGCGTATAGATCCCACACAGGTAAAAGCCTGCCTGTGTCCTGCAGGGTGAGGCAGTCCAAGGTCACTGTGAAGCCGAGGTTGGTGAGACGGGCCCTGATGGTCACTCAGTCACTCTTTGCTTCTTTTTTTTTGGGGGGGGGGGCAGAACTGGGGATTGAACTCAGGCCCTCGCACTTGCCAGGCAAATGCTTATTCTACTGAGCTATCTCCCCGGCCCCTACTACTTGCTTCTTAGCACATAGCACCAAGAGTGCTTTTACGCATCAGTACTAGACACATGCCCTGTCTTCTTCCTCACACCTGTGCTGCACACTCAGGGATCCCCCACAGTGCCCTTCACGGTGCCACCTGGAAACACAAGCCCCTGTCCTGGGCCCTCACAACCAGGCAGGATCAGGGGCAGCAGGTCAGGTCCTCCAGGCCTTCAGGTGTGGAGGAGGCAGTGCAGAGGGAGCAGCCTTGTCGGATCCAGGAGTGGGCAGAGAGGACGAGGAACATCCTTCTGTAGAGGGGTGAACAGGGAGAGGGGTGTCCCTGAGGTGGGAAGGGGCACGTGGGAAAACTGTGTGTGCATGTGTGTGGTTTTGTGTAGTTGTGTGTATGTGCACACATGTGTGCATGCCACTGTGTGTGTGACAGTTTGTGAGTGTGTGTGTTGTGTGTACTGAATCAAGATGTCACTCGGAGACTGGCTAGAGCCACATGGAGAGAAAAAACATTTTCTCAAGCTTTCACAGAGAGCAAATTGTTCAAGCAATGGCCGTGACTCATCCTCATGTCAGACACTGACAAAAGGATGTAAAAAAGGTGGTACAGGACTGCAGGATAAATCCTGAGAGTACTTGGCTGACCTTATCAGATACAAAAGTTACAATTCTGGGTATATAGGTCTTGCTATA